GTGCTCTCCCCCCCCCCCCCCCGCCACTGGGTGAAGGTCGCGGCTGGACGCTGCCTCCCCGAGGGAGTCCTGCGTTTCTGGCTCGCTTGTGGCCCACGGTATTGGCCTGAGCGGGAAGGCGGGGGACTCCGGTGGCCTCAGCATCCCCTCCTCGGGGAGGGCGGGGAACTCTGCAGCCCTGTCCTCCCAGCTTCAGTCACTCTCACCTGCCTGAGAGGTTCATCAGCCAGGCTAGGGCTCTGGCCAGGAAAGGGGCGCTGGAAGTTGTGCGTTTTGAGAAAGCCAAGACGAATGGTGGCGGCCCAGAGAGCTGCCGTACAAATATCGACTAGTTACACGGCTTGTTCCACGTTTGTGAGACGCATTTCGGAGTCTATGAACAGTGTCGGTCATTTAGGGAGCACGCCACTCCGGATATAGAATTTGAGGGGACAGAGGTGCGCTTTCAGGCTGTGAGCAGTGGACTGAGAGCCCGCAATGTTTAGAAGCACCAAGCCCTCCCCTCACCACCTGTGCCCACCGCAAGTGGGAAGGGAGATAGGTGATGCTCCTTAACTGCCCACCTTCCCCAGGGAGGATTGGAATGCCTTCCCTGCAAGCACAGGCTTTGGTTAACAGAAATCCTTATTTTGATTTTGGTCAGGAAGTAGAAAGTGACTTTTGAGCCTTGCCAGCATTGATCTATTTTAGAGAAGAGAAACTATGGTTTCCCAGTTTTTAAAGACGTGTTTCCTGTAAACAACGGAGCATTTTTGGGGCTTAAACTCAGCTTCAAAGCAGTGTAGTCTGTGGGTCCCAGCTTGTGCTTAGGAACTGTCCACTTGAACCTGTTTGCTTGGTCTTTTGGCCTCCCCACCCCACATCCCCACCACTTTGGTTTTCCTTAAAAATTGTGGATAACAGAGGCATTTTTAGGTGAGGATATCAAATTACTCATGCCTACAGCTCCTTTTTCCTAAACTCCAGGAGAGCTTTCAATGGCTACCTTGTATCTTAACACTATCTTACTGCTTTAGGAGGATTGTTTGTAGATTTCCTTGTCTTGGCATGTTGGACTCTTAGGTCCAAGTAAGGAGTTATGTATGTGTATAGTTTAAGGCTTAAGTTTGCTCTTAGTGTTATTATTAGTATAAAGCTTAAGTTCTTTGAGATGGTGGGAGGGGGAGAGATTTTAAAATGTCTCCTGGGGGCTGGCAGGTGATGTGGTGGCTAAGGTGCTGAATTCCCACAGGGCAGACCATAGTTGAATTCCCAGATCCTGAGGCTTGAAACTCATGTCTGGCACGCGTGTGCGCGTGTACACACATACACACACACTTCCTGAAAGTCTTTAATGGTTTTAAATGGTATTCAAAGTTTAAGCTTTAGAAATACAACTTCATAAGGCTGTCTTGGAGCTGTCTCCTGTATTTCAAAAAGACCATGAGTGGTCCTTTATCTGAACTTGAACCTTATTTTGCTAAATAGTGACTATCTGCAAATGAGAAGTTAGGTGATGTGTGAAATGCCATGGCGTTATGTTTCAGTAATGTCTGTTGTGATGGAAAAGCTGTGTGTGACCCAGTTGGATTTTTGGCTTCCTTATAGTTTTCACTCATCTGTAAAAAAATATAAACTTGTGTATTGATATTTCAGTAAATAGATTCCTCTGGGCAAAATTACTAGAAATACTAGCTTAGCTGATGTTAGTAGTATTTTGCTTTTTCAGCTCTAGCCCTGTTATAATGAAAGAGTTATTACCTTTGATAATTACCAGTGGGTGGTAGCGGAAAAAAAACACACACACACATAAGTTAATTTCTCTTCTGTTATTTATAGTACTGGTAGGGGAATCTGGGATTCTGTTATATTTCAAGGACAGTCATTACTACACACATTTGTGCAAATTATTTTCCTTTCAAAGTTTAAGCTTTTCAAATGTAAATTATGAACAATTATACCATTGTAATGTCTCCTCTTTGCACACTTGCTTTCTGAATTTGAAGACTTAATATTTTTACATTAACAAATACAATTGAAGATTTCTTAGTGGTGCTAAGTGATTCTCATGAAATATGACACATTCCTGGCAAAATAGCCAGGGAACTGGGCAAAGTCAGTCATGCAAATTCAGTGGGACAGGATTTTTTTCTTTTTTTACATTTGATCACTGTATATCTTTATAGCATACAAATGGATTGTCTCTTTATGAATACATTATAAGTCCAGTCAAAGATATTATCATATACATTATCATCACCAGATAATTTTCTGGTTTGGGGGAACAGCATTTTTATCAAGAGATTAAGGAGTAAGGATGCCAGATTTAGTTACTGCATCTACTCCTAATTCTGAGTTGACTTTTGGGAAAAATAGACTATCTGGAAATAAAAAGAAAATATTTTTTAAAAATTAAAACAGTTCCATAAAAGAATATTTTATCATTTTAGCTGTAAGTAATAATGAATAAAAAAATTTAAAGCAAATCATATACCTACCACTCACCTTATAAATAGAATAATATCAAGACTTTTGAAGGCTCTTATGTGCCCCTATCTGATCCTGTTTATTTCTTTCATCCTCTAGAGGTAACAACCATTTAAACTTTCTAGTATTTTAACACTTATTTAATTTTATTTATAGCTTTAAAAAAAGCTGTTTCTTTAATGAGAAAGCTACAGAGAGGGAGGACAGTCACCCTCAACATGATCTCATGCCATGATCTTCTCTACTCCTCACCCTGCCAGGATCATGGGTGTGTGTGCTCCATGTGTACAGATTGACTAGGGAACTGAACCTGGGATCTTCCATGAATCCTGCATCACTTTAGAAGTACATTACTGTAGGGCTGGCAGGTAGCATGGTGGTTAAGGGTACTAGATTCCCACATAGCCATTAGTGGTTCAAGTTCCAGACCTGGTGGTTTGCTTTCTCACTTTCCCACTCTCTCTCTGTCTCTCTCTGGTCAAATTTAAATAAATAAATAAAAAGTTAAAAATTAAAAAGAAAAAAAAAAAAGAAGTACGTTACTGCTGTCCACCAAGCTGGCCCGAGTTTAGTTAGTTTTAACTCATATGTGTATATCCCTAAACAAAACACTTCATTTCTTTCTGATACTCTATATTTTCATAAGGACTTGATCTAGTTTTAAATTTTATTTTATTGTTAGGCTGATAGATCTAATGTTATTTCATTGGTTTCTGAAGTTAAGCATCTAAATATATTGACCATTTGAGTTTCTCTTTCAATGAAATGTCTCTTTCTGTGAACTTCAGCTGAAAGCATACCATATGTATTCTGTTGCTTTTTGCTTTCTCAATATTATGAGACTTATCGGAGTTGAATAGCTAGCTGTGGGTCATTAATTTTCACTGCTATATTAGTATTCCATCATGGGAATATTTAACAATATAGTGGATGTGGAGATGCACTGCTTAGATTCTCCTTTCAAGGAAGGGCTTGTTCTGGGTGTTGTATGGTCAGCAAACAGCCTTCAGCTGTCGCCCCTTCAGGAACTGCTTTGGCAAAGGACTGCCTCACCAACCACAGTCCCTTGTGTGTATGGTCCACTTCCAATGGGTGACTGAGGTGAAGTATAAAGGCCTGCCATCTGACTCGACATGGGGCAGTTTTGGCAATTAATTTCAGTTTTAGACCAAGGTCGTCTGAAGCTTATTGGGCCCGCAGTGCTGCTTAGTTTCCTCTCTCCCAGGACCTGCTGCTTTCTCCTTTCTCCTACAGGAGTTAATCCCACATTAACCAAGCACTCTCTGATAAACATACTGGGCATTAAACTCTGTCTCACAGTGATTTCTAAGGAACCCAACTTTACCTTTTTATCCCACGTGTGACATTTGGTAGGTTTCTGGGATTTGTTATTATAACCAGCATCTTCACTAACCACCTCTTGGTGCACAGTGGTACAAGTTTCTCTAGTACATTTTATGTCTAAGAGTAAAATTGGGGTCATATGGTGAACACATTTTCACCTTTCCTAGGTATTGCTAAAGTGTCTTCTGACGTGTTATAATTAACACCCCAATTTGTTGTATAATTATGTTCTGATACTCTATATTTTCATAAGAACTTGATCTAGATTTAAATTTTGTTTGTGTTAGGCTGAGGGATCTAACTATTATTTCATTGGTTTCTGAAGTTAAGGATCTAAGTACATTGACCATTTGAGTTTCTCTTTCAATGAAATGTCTGTTCATTATTTTGTCTACTTTCTACTTTTTAAAAAAAATTTTTTTAGAGGTTTTTTATGTAGTGTGGATTCTAGTTCCTTTTAGTTTGTGTGTGTGTGTGTGTGTGTGTGTGTGTGTCTCAATAGAATCTTGCTGTTGCTATCCCTGCCTCAGCTTCCCCGCAAGGACTATGTACCCATACCACCATTCCCAGCTCCTTTCCCTGGCTCTTTAATTTAGAACAGTCTTGCTATGTTGCCCAGGCCAATCTTGAGCTCCTAATTCTCCTGACTCATGCTTCAGGAGTGACTATTATTACCGACACATGTAACCACACCAC